TCTTTAATATTTGCAGGAAGGAGATTATTATTATTGATTATTAATAGATACAGAATTATTGGTGCTAAATCTAATATCAAACAAGATGCCCACAAGGACTTTCTTTTCAAAGTAACACACAATAAATTCAGTTATAAGTCTTCTGAAATATAAATGCATTAAACTACAGGGTAATACATCTAGAATAAACATATCTCCCTCTACCCAGTTTCAATCAAATTAACTCAATTACTCTTTACTTTTTAAAGTTATGTTAATAATAAAATTGCAAATAATTCGAGAAGCAAGTTTATTCTTGCTATCAATTTGCGTTAAACCTCTGATTCGGACATTATTAGGCAAGAGAATGTCTACATTCTTCTAATTTATTACTTTAAATCCTGTCTCAAGCTGGAATTTTTAAAAAGGTAATTCCTTTATATAGTACACAGACATGCATGATTTCAAAAACTCTCAAAAATTTTAGAAGCATAACACTGAAATACAAAATGTACGATATCTGTTAATTATTTCATGCTTAAAGCATTCTTTCATCAAACAAATCAACCTTTTTTTCCTTCTCTTTAGGTCTGCCTACACATAATCCAGCCATTATACTAGACTTGATTCCTTTATCACCTGAACTTTTCTGAAATTCATAGCAATAACTTAATACGAGATACCGTAATTGAAATATATTGGTATGTTCAGGTAAATGAGACCTGAAAGAGGGTAATGATGAATGGAAAGTTTGTTACATGAATGAAAGAATGTTACCATAACTACTAGATGACAACTATATCATTACAATGCCCCTCTTAAGATGTTATGACAGCTTAGCTTAGTATGGTATTAATTTATATTTAATAATAATATAAGGTTGTTTATAACAGAATGGTTATCTATCACCAACAGATATATAATAATCGAAAATGGAAACCTTATTTGATTTGGAATACAGATCATCTTTATATTTATCTTTATTATTATTACTATAAGCCTGAATAAAACAATATTACATTATCATTCAAGTAAATTATTCAAATTGTGTCTAAATGATAGTGTTCAAATTCCATTCCTAGTTGAAGAACATCAAATGATTTAGATCGACAATTATTGTAAGTAGATCATAACTATAATGTTATATAATATTTCTGTCTGTTTCATACCATAGGGACCATTATGTATATTACTCAAACCCACTCAATCAATATCATGTCTGACCATGTAGAAATACATTGAATGTAAATATAACACATCAAAGGTTAATATGAAACTTATCTCTCTGCATTTACACTGCCACAATATTTTGAATAATACTTTATGAAATAAATCCAGCAAAGTTTAATGTTTTTAGAAATTTTTTTTTTCTTTTTTAAGCTTTGTGGTGAAAAAATTATCACATATATGAAATAATCAGTAACCCTAAAAATAAACTAAAGGAAAATAAAAAATAGTTAAAGAAAGTGCATAAGACTTAATTATGCTGTTATAAAGAAAGATAATCTAAAAAAAGAACATAATTTCTAAAAGATTTACACATGAAATTAAAACTGAAATTTACAGAAAAAAATATCATTTTTAATTGGGGTACAAAGTTTTCGCATGCAACAAAGATTGGTGTCAGGATGGAATGACATGCTGTAGATGGAATTTTCCATGCACAGAAGGTAGAGGGTTGGTTGACCAGGTCTTAAGACAAAGATGTTTATGCATATTTAAGAACAATACCAAAAGCATAAAAAGAACAATTTGATACATTTGGCCCCTTTGTCTTTCTCAAATCCCAGTAATTTCAAATCATTGTTCACAAAAGATTGCCCATGTCTATGTTTTGTAATTATCTTAAAATATACACTTATATCTTTGTCCATCTATAATAGCTATATCACCATTTAATAGTGCTGACATAGTGCTGACATCTTGTCATACATTTTGAACTATCTGAACTTTTATCATTAGAAACTATGGTGTTCATTGTGCAAGATAGTTAGAGAAATAAGAGTTTTTGAAATGCTAACTGAACTATAGTCATTAGAAACTATGATGTTTACTTTCAATATTAAGAAAGCAGATAGTAAAATGTTAAAAAGAGTGCAGCGAGAATCCTATCTGAATTAACACTATGTTGTTTATTGTTTCCAAAAAGAACTTAGATATTATAAATGATTTTGGAATGCTATCTAAACTATCATCATCAGAAACTATGCCATGATGTTTATTGTCTTTTACAGAAAGCAGATAGATTTGTTATCTGAACTATGAGTTTAATAAAGAGAGGATATTGTTATGTTGGAATGCTACCCGAACTATCAATATTAAAAACTATAGTGTTTGTTGTCTATGTAAAGACAGTAGAAAGATGTCTAATTGTCAAGCTACTATTGAAATGTACCACCAAGTACCCAACAAGCTAAATATCTGAAATATTAACCTCTGGTGAACCTGCCAGCAGACTGTCATCATATCCGTCAGAATCTGGTGATTTCGATTTGGAATCTTTGCCAGGTGATTTCTTTCTCCCACTTCCGAAAAGACCACCCTTCTTTTTTTTGTCAGAATTATCATTTTCTTTATCATGTTTATCATGTTTATCATGCTTATCATGTTTATCATGTTTATCATGTTTATCATGTTTTTTATCTTTTCCTTTGTTCTTCTTATTTTTATCATGCTCATCATCCTGTCAACATTTATGAATCAAAAAGTTATCAAAATATCAAGTGTTTAATACATAATTCATGTTTATGAAGATTCTGAGATTCCTTACATTATTTTTGGTTCATTAATTAATTATGATATTGCGCTATAATAAGTGATTTACTTATTCTTTAACTATTGCCTACTAACAAGTTCTTTTGTAATAAAATTATCTGACAACTAATTTCATGATTAAACACTTTAACAAATAAATTTCAAATAAAATCTTGCATTAAGTAATTTCAAAATAAAAAATTTTGTAGTGTTATTTATGATACCCAAGTAATTTTTTAATTTAAGAAGTAATTTCACTTAAAACCCTTCTGACAAGTAATTTGGTAGTAAGTATTAACCTTATTTGGAGTAGTATCAACTGGCACAGTAACACCCATTTGTATATCCTCCTGTTATAATACACATAATAAAAATAAATATATAAACATACACATAAATATTATATACAGTAAGAAATTAAGTGGGCAAAAGAACAAACTTGTTCAAAATACACAGAAAATACTTCAACACAAACACATAAAAATTGACTGCAAAAAGAGATTTGTGTAATAAAGCTTACTAAACAGATAAACACATGAAAAAAAGAGTTGTGAATGTGTACATACCCTGTCTACACCAGCATAACCTGGATCATTGGGATCTCTTGCTCTTTCAGTAGCATTATCTCTTCCCTACAATACAGTATATTGCTTTAACAATTCATGAAACATGTTCAAGGAAACAATTCACTCTGAGCTGTACACTTTCTAGGTAGTTTTAATGAACACAATATTAGTGTATCTATTATATTTAGACATCACTTTATGGAACAATCAACAGTTAAAGTTTAGATTGTAGAAGCTGTCTATATAATTACATGTCTATTAGTGAGTGTAGGAGATAAATATTGAAAATATAGAACCTACCATTTTGTCAGAGATATCTTCAGTGGCAGATTTGTTCAATTCAGCTAAAGCGATCTTTTCTTTATCTTTGCCTTTTCCTTTCTTTTTCTCAGCCTTCTTCCTTTCTTCTTCTTCTTTCTTGCGTCTCTTTTCTTCTTCTTTTTCTCTCTTCTTCCTTTCCTTTTCAGCTTCCTTGAATTTCTTCTCTTCTTCTTTAGTACGTTTACCAGTAGGTGAGGTTAAGTTACCAGATTGTACGGCTAGTGAAGATTCTTCCGGATATCCTTCTCTATTTAATGTGGCATCCTACAATGAGAAAGAACAATCTGAACAAAAATTTCAACAAATAAAAGGAGATCCAAAAGCGGACCCTTCTACTATGCTTGAGAATTAATGCAAGCTTCATGTAAATTTGAATTATACGTTTTAATTATCATACCAAAAGTGAGGGTAACAGTCAAACCACAGAAAAGATTGTGAAATTTGACTCAGGAATTTGATTCCTCTACAGAAAATTGAGCAAAGAAAACATGAAATGAAATGTTGTTTTTAAGTCCTACATTTCTGCACGTTTGCCTAATAAGGCTGGGCACAAACAAAACATAGTGTTACGCAAAAAATATTTCATCAACATACCCCTTCACCATGAGTTGTATCTCTGATATCAGCACTATCATCTAAACTTCTATTTCTATCACCACCTGGTCCCAATCTAATCTGAGCACTGTCTAATTCTTTACCATCTGGTGAATAACCACCACGAGATTTCTCCAACGCTTCATCATAATCTTTCTGTAATCTTCGTTCTTCTTCAGCCTTCAATCGTCTCTTTTCATCGTCAGGATTATATTGTTTTAATTCATCATGCATACCAGCTGCTTGGAATGGTGTAGGTATACCGTGGAGGGTGTCACGTTTATTTTTGTCATCTGGATAGCGATCATCATAATTTTCAGCACTGTCTGAATAATTGCGTAGGTTGCGATCATTACGTAACTTAGTATCATAATCATCATTAGCAGGATAACCATAGTCATCCACTCTACTCTTCCTTGGACCAACTGAAAAACAATTTATCTATCACATTGTGGAAAGAGTAAGGAAAGAAATAGACCAATTCACTTGAAGTCAACTTCCTGTTAAAATTATTGGGTACAAGACAACAGGAAATCTTTATTACAAAGATACCTACTAATAGATGAACTTCAATGTGAATATTACTTTCTACCAAAATAATAGGGTACAACAAGGAAACTCCAGTATACAGTCATTCAATACAGGCTGAATATATCATATTAATTTCAACCCAAACATTTTGCACAATGTGAATTTTACTTCATACAAAAAAATAATTGGGTATATGAGAAGGAAATTTTCTCGCACACATTAACTCACTACAGGCTTAATCCTTTAAATGATATTCTAGGCCTTAGCTTTAGCCATATCTATATAGTAATCTTTCTCAAATTCAAACTTACGTTCATCCATACTTCTACTTTTTTCATGGTAGGTTGCTCGTTGAGGTACACGTTCAAAATATGGTTCATTACGATCCAAGAGTGCTGTATTGTGTTTGGTTTGATAAAATGTTCTACCAGAGTAGCGAAACTTGGAACCAAGTCGTGGAAATACTGCATTATTTTTAGGTTGTTCTGGCTCACGTAATCTACAAAATACATCAAATTTTCATTTGCTTGATCAAAATATTGGATGACATTGTGTAAAGAAATTGAGCAAATAAAGATTTCATGATGGAGGGATCCCACATGATTCAAAGACTTGTACACCTGACCTAGTTTTTTTCAAAATCAATGTCATGACAAACAAAATTATATTAACAGCAGTTATAAAGGAAAAAAGAAGAATTTTCATTTTCTATTCCAGAAACAACACAGCTAGAGACCAGGAAAACAAGGTTTACTAGAAACGGGAACAAAAAACTCACCGATTTTCAGTAGAGAGTGGGTGAATGACAGATGAATGATTGAATGAATTTATGAATGCCACTTTCATGTGATAACATAGTCCTTTTGATATCTTTTTATTTTGAAAAGTCTTTCCCATTTTTTAGTTTCAATTACCCCTTGCAATGTGAACTCAGAAAATCGTGGGATATTAGTTGGGTTTCGGACTAAGAAGAGTTAGTGCCAATATTACCCAGAAATAATAAACTTTAAGGCCAATTAAATTAGAAACTTGAAAATAAATGAAATGGAGTCTTATATTCTTCTTAGTATGAACAAGGTAAAGAAAACAGTTTAGTTTTTGAGAAAAAAAATTCTGAGTTCACATCATAGTATATACCCTATTTTAAAACCTCAATATGTTTGCCATCCTTTTGTTAGAGAAATGTTCCACATACCCAATACCTTTTCAATTCTCATGTTTTCCATAACAAATTTAAATTTCAAAATAGGTGCAAAAGTTTGGGTTCATATTGGTGAAAAAAATTCAATATTAACTAACCATTACCAAATATATAAAACAAACAAATTTATAAAAAATGTTATATACAAAGTCATTTTGATTATCTTTGGGGTTATAAATTTAAAAAAAGTGATTGGATTTTGTGGACAAACTATATTGTAGGTTTTTTTCTTGATCGTCGAGGTAGAACATGCCTAAAATAAAATCACAGCTTCACATTTTTAAATGAACTCTAGAAATGAAATAAAAGAAATTTGCAGAAAGAAGAAACTTTTATGTACTTAGATGATGATGACAAAATATACCAGGCCTCAGTTTCACCAAAAAACAGTTGAAAATGCATGATTCAAAAATTTAAAGAAAAGCATACCTTATGTTACACTGCTACCCAAAAATAGATGTGCAATTTTGAAATTTTAAACAAGGTATTAATGTCAGTACTTGATAGTGAAATAGAGGCCTGGTAATTCAATAACAAATATTTACCTGAAGAAAGCATGATGTTCTACACATGTTTTCCACAGACGTTTGGCTAATCTGTGAGTTTCTAGTTTAAAACCAATTGTGCTTTCAAACCTCTCAAACTGAAATTGACAAGAATTGAAATTATTAAACAGTGTGCCATGAACGCAGAAAATATAACTTATTGTTGTCAATCAAGTCAATCTTAATTAGATGATAGATACTAGTATACAGAAATATCATGTCATCCTAACTTGTGCTCATTCGAGCATACTGTTCTCTCAAAACATCATTCATTGTGACAGATTCTGATTGTGTGAATTACTCAGTCCTTGTTGCACACAGTCTCACTAAATACAGCCATTGATCAGCCTCTCTAAATATGTTGCAAGTTGCAAGCTGTTGTTCATAATCCAGCATTTCTCAGATTTTACCAGTTGCAAGGTCGTCTTGACCAGTACATGCATTTAAAAGCTTGAAACAGCACATCCTTTACTAGTGATTGGTATTAGTACTCACATCTGATGGTCGGATTTTAATATAAAAATTATTCCTTTTATAAGATATTTTAAGAATTTTTGGCCAAACAAATCTGTTGATTCTTAATTTATCTCTGTATACCAATAACCCACTAGCACATACACCTAACATTATATCTACACCTTCAGAATCCTGGAAAAAAATCAATAGTGATTTAGACACTAAATTGCTAACATGAGGGTCCACAGTTCAATCAAGGATTTTTCAATCCGCTTTCCCTGTGGAAGACTTTATGTGCAGACAATGAAAAAGATAATAATTCATTTGGCTGGGGCAATAAACCAGGACCATGTGCTACAGGATGTGCAAGCTAAAGATCCCTTCTCAGTAGGAAATGGCAAAATTCTGCTAATGCAGCAGACTAGACAAAATTAACCACACTGCATGTTGATGCCAGCCTTTGTTTGTCCAATCAGTTTCAGAAGATTAGAACTTAATTTCATTTTGCCAGAAAATTGATACAGACAAATAAATAAACTGCCTGGTATCATCTCAAGCTTGAGTCAATACTTTTTGATAGATTTAAATGTCTAACCTTTGCTTTATGAAGATCAACACCATACATGGCTAATTTTTTAGCATTTTCTAAGAAATGTAAATCTGCTTCTTCTGGTGTTTGGCCCCTAAGATATAAAATAAAAGTTTGTTGTTTATGGCTGTCATTAAAACATAACTCAAATAAATTGGTTTTTATAATATACCTATCATGTTAATTATTTTGTGATGTTAAATTTGTAACATTATACTTATTTTTTTGCAATGAGAGAAATTTTAAAACATTGAGGAAACTTGAACATGTACAGGAGGTAAAACTCATTCATTTCATTTGACCATATACAATCTGTAGCATACAGGTCCAATTGATTGACTATACGCTTTAATGAATGACTACTGATATGTCATGTTTCATAGTAAAAAAGATACCTACTTGTGCTGACGATGTAATTCTGCTATTTTTTCTAACATTTCTGGGGTCTGATTTGGTGCAAAAGGCATGTCTTTAATATAATCATAACCATCGCCATGTTCATTAGGATCATAATCTCCTTTATCAGCTTGTACACTATATGATCCTAACATAGCATGGGTAATAAAGGAACATGGTAATCTGAAAAATAAAACATTATTCTCTAATTCACTCTTCTAATACATACAGTTTCTCTGTATTCATGTCATCTGGCTCATTCAGTTAAAAAATGTCTTTTTGACAAAAATATCACACAAAATTAACATTAACACCTGGGTCCTATTTCACAAAGTAATTTAATAATAATTGTTGTTATTGTGGAATTTTTAAATTGACAAAAAGTGACTTTTTGAGAAATAAGCCCAGGATCTTTGGAGAACACAATGCATCTATACCTATGTCCATATATTAAGATATCAAGGTTCTTAAAACAAAAAAAGCTTTAAAATATCTTACCTGCCACTAAGGATATCTCTTCTGATTTGTAAACAAACTAAAAATCGTGTTAAATGTTCCTGTAACTGTGTTGGGTCTGGTGGGTAAAATTTAACAGCAAACTCAAACACCCAAGCACCACCTTAAATAACATCAAATACTTGTCATTAAAACTAAATAGGCCAATGCACTGGAATTTGCATTTTGGGACAATTTATTTCCATCTGTTAACGGAACTTTAATGAATACACATATCCAAAACGGCTGTAATCTTTTTCACCTGCATCATTGATTATGAAATATGAAATGAAGGGATGTAACTTACTTTTCTTCTGTTTTGATATTTTCTTTTCAACATTTAACCAGAACTACAAAGAACAAAATACAGAATAAAGCACTTTGAGTGAAATGTAATACAGTTTTATATTCAGAGTAAAACCCAATTTGGGATAATGAATGCAGTGTACAATGAGGAAAATATCACAAGGATATTTCAAAAATCTACTATTTGCTTCAAAAATGTACAAATTAACAACACAGGATTTTATTCCATGTCATCACCATTAACATCTATACTCTGTGCACTAAGGAGCTGTAATTGAGCATTTTGCTTCTTCTGATGGAGAGGGATACCATGAGATAACATAGAAAAGTAAGGAAGTACGAAGACCTCAAAAGATTAGCAGTCAAAGGCTTAAAACATCGATTCAAAGAAGAAACTGAATTCTTATAAATAAATTTTGCATGTTTTCAATTAGTAGATAACCTTTACTTACTTTTATGTGGGCAGGTACTTTATCATCTTGATAGGTTAAACCAAAATAGTCTCTTTCTAATAAATCTAAATGATCACATACTCTATCAAATAACACTTGACCCACTGCTGCTTTCTGCAAGAAATAAGATAAGAAACTTAGATAAATATTATTTCTTAGATATTTCATTCTTTTGAGTTTAAGTTTCAGATGATAAGCTAGTGTTTTTGCAAGCACAATAACACATTATTTATAACAAATTATTTGCATGTCAACTAGTAGGTAAATCCGAAATGCTACATAAAATAAAAAGACCAATGGAAGAATAAATGTCTGTGACAGTTCTTACAATATCTTAAAACACAAGTACAGTACCATACTGAAACCAGATAATTTGGCTCCAGAAAGACTGGCTGTCAATCAATTTTTTTTAGATGATTTACATAATGATAACTTTCAAAATTGGACTTGCGTAAAATACATAATTGCACTGAACAGGAAGTGAGAATAGAACAGATTGTTCTACAGTAAAAATATAATGGAGCTTCATCTTATAATGTTATGGAAAATCAATCACTTTTGACACAAAGATACAAGAACAAAAAGTTACATAGGTTTACTTACAGGTATATCAATTTCTATATTTTCACCATCTAATAATACAACTGTACAGGTAGAATTCTTGGACGACCTGGTCGCCGCTTTCTTTGGGGATTTCTTGTCTTCTGTCATTTTTTTATTTGGACTTTTAGTATTTGTCTGAAAGATACAAAAGAATACATTGTATATCTGTATAAGATTAATATTTAGTCAAAATACAGTTAGATAGTTTTGGTTAATATTTTGGAAAATCTCCATATAAGGCAGAGCTCAAGTCAAATTGATCAAATATTACAATTAAAGTAAAGATATAGGTGGGAAATCTATTGGCTTCGTTCCCCTGGCCAATATTCAACACTGTTACTGTAAATATATATGACAAAATACAGACAGTATTAACTAATAACTATGTACAGGTAAATCATGTCACAATTCTGTTGATATTTCATCAACTTTTTTTACAGCATATACCATCTAAATTATCCATTTAGGAAAAACTGAGTTATCCAATCTCTAAATCCTTCAGCAAATAAAGTGCAGAATGGCTACAGATTACCATAACAGGACATTAACAATTTAGTTTAGGCATGCCCATGAGAAAATAAAAAGACACATCAACAAATAAAAAGAAACTACTAAATAACCTGCCTGGAGCAAAGATCTATGATAACTGATAACTAATGTAATAAGAAAAACTTCAGAAATAATAGTTGACCATAAATCCTAAAACTAACAATTAATTCATTTCTCAAATTTCAATATGGTCTTGTAAACTATCAATTTACCCAACCTTTTCCTTTTAAAACAAATTGGTCAAACCTCCATCCTCGAAATAGGCCTACTAGATCTACATATTTACCACACCCACAATCACATTTCCTATTTACCGGTATTGTCATCCAAATAAATGAGATCATCACAAATGTCTCATAATATGAACATAATTATGACAGGAAAATTAAAATCAATAATTCCTAGCATTACATTAGATGTTAACAAAATGTATCCCTTTTAAGCACCCAAGTAAGTGGCCTGAGCAATAATGATAGTAAAAAATTGCCCCTCCCCATCTTTCACTCCTAGGAATTCAATTGATATTATATCTACCATCCACAAATCAAACACCATTAATTCCAACACCCGTCAATGCAAGTATGAAGATGATTTACTTCCAATTAGCAGAATGATTAAATGCATCTTATTAATATAGCAAATGAACTCAAAATCCGCCATACCCGGCCAATCAATCAACATTACAGGAAAAACATGGCGGCCGCCATTGCAGTTGTTGATTCAAACTAATGTGGGTCAGGACGCTCGAAAGTTTATTTTTAGACGAACATTTCTATCGCTTTTCGTATCTAAAAGCCCCTGAAATGAAATAATTGCCTACTCACTGATTGTCTATCCTGTTAAAAAGCATGAAACGTTACTCCATTGCGAAATTACTAAGATGAAAATATGGAAAGATGTGACATCACAGTCTACCTAGAGTTGTAGCATTCCGCTAGAGGTCACTAGTATCGTTATGGGGTCAAGGTGTGTGAAGATGCATAACAAATCGAGATCAAATAGCTTTAGGGTCCACATTGTTTTAACAAAATACAATGACCAAGAAGCTTAAGAGATTTGAAATTCTCTATCTAATGAAAAAACACTTAAACTTTGAACTTCCATTTAGAGCTTTTATTCTTCAAAATGTTAACTTACAGAGGCAATACGTGTTTAAATTATGCCGCCATATAATGAGGTATACGAGTCAGGTAAGCGACAGATGCGCGAAATTCATTAAAGGGCCAATATAATTCCTAAACACGTTCTAACGGTTTCACGCACTCGAATATAAGATCCACATTGAAGGCTGTGAATAAAATTATGCAAATTGACACATGGACCAACTAGGCCTACTATATAGGCCATTAGGCATTAAAAATGTCATCTGCCAGGACCTAACATTATAGATCAAGCTTTTTGGTGACAAAGTCGTATAGACCCATATGTTAATTTTATATGCATCCCCACCCTCTTTCATTGAATTATTTTTCTGCCTTTATGTCTAATGTATTGTTTTCTTTTTTTGTTTCTTCGGAGCGGTTGGTGTGGTCATAGTTTCCGGTACCGATGCCCTACAGTCTCAAATGTCTGATCATTTCATGCAAGCCCCTTCGACAATTCTGCGGCCCATACTTACCCTCCTTACCCAATGTTTCATAGAAACACAACTGCTAAAGATACCCCAGATTGAAAATAAATTGAATTTTTTGACTCATCAATTAGATAATATTTTATCCTGGATGTCTCAATAAGATAAATATCTCCCCTTCGGCTTTAATTAGACCAGTTAATATTGATGATACATGTGGCCGCAGCCGGCTTCCATACAAGATACAGACAGGCTGTGTGGGTAAAATTATATTTCAGCAAAATAGCTATGAAGCATTGCTTAGCACTACATTCGACAATAGCTTATTAAATGATATACAGCAAAGTTATATAGGTCTTACAGATTAAGATGAAAAGCATTATACTATTAGCAACTGAAATCCTTTCTTTTACCAGTATAATGTGGGGGTGAGGGGAGCGATATATCAGATGGGAGTATGGGCCTTAATATGGAAATAAATCATCTCACTGTTCAGAAAATGCCCGAAAGCGTAACTCCATGAAGGTTCTAGTTACCTTGTATAATTTAATTATATATTTTTCAGCATTTATTTTTTAAGGAATCATGTCGTCACCAAAGGTCTTAGCATTTTGCATATAAATAAAGAAATAATAATAAAAAAAAACATTTCAGGTTGATCTATAAAATAGGCTACCTATACACAGGTTTTCACAACAATATTTTAACTTATCCTGAATACTGTATGAGCTAGAATGTGATTTGAACGTATTCGGAAGATTAAGGCATTAACCGGAATGTCTGGAAATGGTTGACAATGATAAAATGATAAACAATAAAATGTGAAGCTAAACAATGATAAACAATGGACCCTAACTAGAGGAGAAAGGGAAATTCAGTCTATTATCGCCATACATGGTCCTATAAAACTTTAATCCACTATGAATAAATAAACGAAATACATTGTGAATAAGCCTATTATTTATCGTATTTTATGGGCTATAAAAGCTATTTAAGTACAGTATGGCAGGTCGCCTGTATATAGCTTGTGTATAGTGGATGTATATACTCAGTCAGTGTTAAAATAATCTAGCTTACTCGACAAATTTATCATAGTGTAGTCCGAACACCTGACCATATTCATTTCACGTCATAGCAGGCAGTGGATTTCTTTCTTTCATTTTTAAGAGCCACCTTTTCGAAGATACGACCTAAAAAAGCATTTTCATTAGCTGGCATATACAATTCAAAATGTTCTCAAACAGTACTAACCCTTAATAACGGTATTCAAGTCATATATAAGTTTCCTTTAGCAACCGTACGATGATAGGCCTAATGATCTATTTGAATAGTCATATATAGAATGGGACCTAATTCTAAAGAAATAGCACTGAGGTACATCGCCGTGCATCAAGACAAAATGATTTTTCTTCATTAACCTTAAGGGCGACGTTTATTACAACTTGTTCGATTGGGTGGGAAAACTTCATCGATAATCTATAATCGGGTGATCGCAAAAAATTTCCTTATTTTATATGCTGCAATATCGATTTGTCAACGCTTCCGGTTGTCCACTTTTAAAAAATTTCTTCGGCAACCCACTGATAGAACACGATTCGTTCAATACGAAACGTTTTACTAAATGAGCGCAAGGCAGATACATTATTGACCTTAGACACGATCATCATTTGTAATCCAATAGCCAGCGATTCGGATTAATCGAAACACTTTGTTTATTTCTTGATCAGGTAAATTATAATATGAAAAAAAGAGTCACACTCTGATAAACACATGGTGTGTTTGTGTACTGGTTATATTAAAGGAGACCTTTAAAAATATATACCGGAGATAGTATCAAATTATGCCCCTTATCAAATAAAAGTTTAAAACCGACAGGACGTGCTGACATTAACTGGACCCCTATGTTTCTATAACGTAAAAGATGGTTGCAATGAACATCATTAAAGAGAACGTTTATTCCGCTGTTCAGGCAAAATGTACCTGATTGCACACCGTGACTGTGTCGTTACCTGTCTTGGCCATACCCAATCGGTAAAGTAGGCAGAAAATGCAAATTATTTCTAGGGTTGACATGAGCTGACATGTAAAGGTACACGGAACAAAGTTCACGTCAAAGGGAAGTAACCCGTGCTAAAATAATTGGAAAAAAGATAATATTTTTCAAAAATTGATCGATATAAGATAATCATAAATGTACCATGCTGATGTGATAAAAATCGAGTGAGTCATATAATGTATGGCAAATCTACACGAACAAAAAAAGAATTTTTGGTTATATACTTGTTTTGCTTTTGTATGAATGTATTTGGGACGCAACTTCCTTTAGCACCACTTCAATATTCATCTGACTTTGACACCCCTATAACATAATTCAAAACCTAATTCTGACCTGATTACGTGTACAATAGCACGAAAGTCATTTGGGTCTTGGCTCGGCTCCCGTCTATGAGCAAAATGGTATAACATTGTTATTATTTATTCGGTCTACACTACATTAAGTATAATTCACTGCACTTCAATTGCACTTTACTGACAAGGAAACACAGAGCATAACAAAATGTATATAAAAAATATTACTTTTGCCCATGACCGCTGTGATACCCATGACTTTAACAAGATATAGTATTACAGTCGACGGGATTAATTATTAATCCGCTTAGTTATTTATCATTTTCTACATGATATATTTGGCTTATTTAGACATTACATTAAAAGAAATTAAGCATTCACCTCACAGGCATCTGTCTCTATCAATAATCGACTCTCTCTATAATAGTATATATACTATAATACTCTACTATTGATAGAAACAGATTCCCGTGATTCACCTACTATTTCAATTTCCAACTGTAAAGGTATCACCTTATTAGACTGAAACAAAATGATACTAATAGATTAAAAATTCAACCGTGTGATCCATCACTGATATAATAGCTATCCAGTCAGACGGTTGAGATAATATGATGTTAACATATTGAAAATTCGACCC